CCCCAAAACCCCAAAACCCCAAAACCCCAAAACCCCAGGGTTTATATAAAATATTGAATTAAAAGTTCATAATCAGATATGAATATAACATGCATGGAGAGGAAGAACATGGACCTAATCACTAGGAATGCTTGTAGCTCAAATCTAAGGCCTGTTAAGGTCTTCCTTTTAGGAAAGGAGCATGCGCATCATATCATGTGATATGATGCCATCCTTCCCAGAAGGGGGAAGGAGGCTTTCGTTACCGATATGATCTTAAAGCATCATAAAATAAAAGAAGGGGTCATCAACAGTAAGAAATATCACAAAATCTTGCTTGATAAAGATAATAATTTTGTGCGGTCTGAAAGACCGCACAAATAAGGAACTTGAAATCCCTAAAGGGTTTGAAAAACCAGAAAATAGCTTTTTCGAAAATAGTAAGCCTAGCTGCTTCTTCCTAATTTGTTCATAACTTGCTAGGTTTTCAAGATAAAGTGGATAAGATGAATACAACCAGGAAAATAAGCATGTTATCTAAGATGTTTGAGCATCCAGATTTAGAGGAACCAGGGGAGAGTGAGCATTCAGATATAATGAAGGAGAAGCTACATGACTTCTACATTCACCCATTGGTGTACCCATCGCTTGATTCCTTACTTGAGGACCTAAGCCTTAAGACATTCGAAAAATTTGATGCATGAATGGTGTTTAATCATAAATACGAGTTGATTAGGAATGTAGATCAAGCAAGGAAGCATATCTTCATCGTAGACAAGCAGTTCCTCTCACATGTTACTTCCAAATACTGTAAGGACTCCACCTCAGATGAGGTGGAAGAAGTTGCCAAGCAAGCTGAGAAAATCTATGATTTAGTCATGCGCAAACGCAAAATGGTTATTCCCTTTGCAGAAGAATTTGAGTTCAACAGGCCAAAGAAAGTTGAAATGAAGAATTTACCCTATGAAGAAGGCATCTATGACATTAATGAGGGAGATAAGAGTGCTTACGAGAAGACACAGAAGAAGATATACAAGGCTGATCCATGACTTTACAGCAGTAAGTAGACTTTCATAGACAGTTAGATTTTGCTTCACAGACCTTCGAAATTTATTTGAAAACAAGGCTTCTCAAGGCTAGAAATATTCGAAAATTTGAGAAACCGATTGTATTTCCTTAGAAAATCATAAAATATCTGGGCTAAGACTGATCCTATCTGACATAATACTTACAGAGATTTGGAAATTCAAGCGAGGAGTAGCTCATACCTCCTCAGAAGTAAGCCCAGGAGTCTCCCCTGGAAAAACAGAGTATGGTAGGATGGCCAGAGCTAGCAGCAGCCTTCCCCGATTAGACGATGAAACAGAGAAAGCTATGATCAGCTCAAAGCTTCTCTTTAAGGATAAGAATAACAAGATGGTGAATAAACTTCCAAAAACCTCTGCTATGCAGAGTCCCGAAGGATCAAAGCTTTCAATTCTTAATAAAATCGAGTTTCTTGGGTCCTGTGAGATCAACAAAGTTTCTGCCCAGAGCCAGAATCTTTTTGTTACACCAACAGCGAAGTTAGCAAAGTTAAAGAACGGTAAGAGCTGAGGATAATGCTTGAAATTTAGGCTCAATGGACTACCAAGCTATGAAAAGCAACTACAACAAATATATCGATCCTAAATCTGTGCGGAATCAAAGGTAAGCCAACATTGGTGGATCTTCTTTATTTCTATAGTATTGAAGCTAGAATGGCTTTTAAAGACCACCGGCTGGGAGGACTCCGGAAGGAACCACAGACTACTTCAAAGGATCATCATGCGAAAAAATCCAGAAGAGTTGACACAAAGGACTCACAAGGTATATTTTAGGCTCTTTTCTTTGCTCCAATAGTGACTGTTTAGTGCTAAGTAGCTTGCAAAAGTCTTACAAGATAGCTAAAGAATTAATGAAGAGACCCAAGAGGACACCGAAACGCTTACCTGCAGCTAACACTTTAAAGGAAATAAAACTACCTGTCCAAGTGAGTCCATCGGCGCAGGCTTGTAAGAACACTTCTTGATAGTTATAGCGCTTAATGACTTGAAAATCCGGACTCCCAACTATGAGTCCTTGTTGATGCTAAAAACAGGAGATTTCCTACAGTCATTCATGAGGAAGGAAAAATCTCTGAGAGCTAATAAGACCAATGTCTCTCTGAGTAATCTGTCCTGGTGATCCTATAGAGAAATCAGGGAAAGGTCTCATTCCTCTCGAGACAGTTATACAAAGAAATGAGATAAAGTAAGTCACATATTTTAGGTTTGATGATTCAACTGCAATACAACATATTTTAATGCCCCTTTCAGGAACTCAATTGACAGAAATTATCTTGATTATGGCGTCATGGGAGATGTAGGATATTTTAATAATCCTTTAGAGAGGTTTTAGATCCCAGCAAGAGAAAGATTGGAAGGTAGATGCCTTATTTTACTCAACACTAAGTTAACACAGTATATTTAGGAAAAGACGATGAAAAATTTGCATAAGAAGATGCAGATATCTTCAAAATCACCAAAAACTCTTGTTCATACCTCAGGAGGCCCTCCTGATACTCATCCAAAGCCTCTTCGATGAATGAAGGGTGTAAAGATGAAATATAGGAAGCGTGTTAGTGACCAGAAGCGTCAAAAGGATCTCAAGTTGGTTTACTCAAGTAGTCTCAATAAATTATAAATCAACCAAACCGACCCCTCTAGGGGTTTTGGGGTTTTGGGGTTTTGGGGTTTTGGGG